TGCTTGAGTATTAAAAACCCATTTAAGGACGTCAAACTCACCAATAACGAGAAGTATCAAGGATATTTTCGACCTTAAAACGAAGCAAAATACCGATCTTAGGGAACTGATCAATCGGTCAATCGAAGGACAGCACAGCTCGATGGTGATGACCACTGGCTAGTTACTGTGACGTCAAAAAACGTATTTCCGCGGTGTCGGCTTCGCCCCTTACAATCGCAGCTTCGCTACGAAAAAAACCCTCTGGCACCCAGGGTACCGCTCTGTATGTCGCACAGATCATCTCGAGATTTACAAACCAGTAGCTAACAAATCAGCGGAGGAAGTTACTGAAGTAACAACAAACATTTTTGGCTAAGGTAGGGAGCCGACCATCGCGAAGTAACTTAGAGTTTTGGTTAAAAGGTGTCCTGGCTAGATTCCAGTTTGGATTGTGTTAAACTGGAATGCCGATACGATGAAGGACGGTATTAGAGATTCGATTACAGATTCCCTTCGGTGACATGTAAACATGGGTCGATCAGTAGTAACCTTTTCTTTCAAAAGAGTCTACATTGAGAGACAAAACGTTTCGTCATTTTCGAACGAAAATAAGTTGATTATCTTAGCTGAAATAGTCAGTGGCGAAAACGCCGCCATGCTATTTAGGAGCGGTGCGACAACTTAAGTTGAACTTGAGTAATGGTCTACAATCGTCATGGAAGTGCTAAACAGCACTCCTGGTCTATCTTTTCCTTTTCCGTTTGATTGACTAAGTAACGAAGAAGCCGACAGGACTAACAGACCAAGCAGGAATAATTCACTATAATTAACAAGCGACCTACGTGCGAGCTGAGGAAATCGAAATCTGTTGATTGCATAATCTTTTTATAGAGGAGAACACTCCTATTTACATTTTCCGTTATCGCCTTTTAGATCGCGTTAAAACACAGCATCGTTCACTTCCAGTCAAGAAATATAAAACAATTACTGTGTCGCTCCGGTTATCTGATGGCGGCTGATGAGCGGACGTTTGGGAAAGTGTGAAAAATACTATCGAAACCCGAGCCGTGTTTCGAGTTATTTTTTGATCTCTTCAGCTGTGTAGCACAATAATTTTACGGATGCCGGGTTTTCCGTCTTAAAACGTCACGATACAGCATTTGCAGTTAGACTTGATGAACCATGCCGACTAATTCTAAATCTTAGGATAAACAAGACATCAGATGACCATTATCGTGGTATGTTATCCTTTCGATCAGTGAAAAATGGCTTGAGACGCTGTATTAACAATTATTTATATATTCATTATGACTGACCAGTTTTACTATTAATAATATTGTTCTGCATTGTAATAAATGAAGAAACCCTCTTCATTTAGATCGTAAATTTTAAGCTCGGTTGTGAAATAAAAATTGGTCAAAATATTACGAGTGTGGGTCAAAGAAAAAACTTACAGAAGTATAATATAATTACTAATGGTGATGTTGCTGTGGATTCATCGTCTCGAATCGTCAATCTCCTGTTTAGACCTTATCAAAGTTTACACCGCTATCTTGTTCTGGTAGGCAACCTCAGTATTATAGCTTGTACGCAAACGAAACGTAAATTATTTCCTCCAGAATAATCTACCGTAGACTTATTACTAAAAATTGAAGTTTACCACTAAAATATTTCAAGTTAAGTAAATATGGATAAACAGACTTGTTCGAAACTAAGCAATATTCAATAGGGACCCTTAAGCAAACCACGACGGCAACGACAACGTGAACGGCACCAAACAAAATCTTTAACGAGCAAAACAGTGGAGATGCACGTGCATTATAAATCTTTGTACGTTTCTTAGCCGTGTCTTCATCGTGAAATGACTAAGTTTTGCGTATTTTGGAGAACGCGAACGACGGCGGCTATTTTTTCGTATTCTTATTTAAAATTCAACGTTGGCGTTACACATTAAACTTGAGCAAGTTCTGAGACCGATAGGCGTACTGAACAGATATAGATAACTGCGAAGTTCAAAGGTAAATTATAAATCCTTGTTTTACTACGCGTCGTCCTTGGCGTCACCGTCGTCATTGCTCAAGGTCCGTAATATCTACAGACTGCGTTCGTCAATCGAACCTCTTCTTACAGACACACTCATAATACGGACACCTCAAACAACCAAGAATTCACTCAGTTTTACCTCTATAAGACGGAAGCCGCGCTCGCCCCTTTTGGTGTCATGTAGGCTTATCTTGTCAATAGGCGATTTGCATGATGGCGTCATTTGACTACAACTACCAGAATCCTTCACTTTTTCTGTTTCTTATGCTAATTAGGGCAATTGTTATTTAAACCCCACTGGAAATTCAAAATTTAAATAATAAAGAAAAAAGGAAAGGAATTCTGGTAGTCGTCAAATGACGACAACGTGCAAATCTGCTATTCTAGTACTTTCATGAATTTTATTTAGTAACCGCTTCTTTATTCGTGGGCAACGCAAATCGGTTAATCATTGATTTAAAATCAACAAAGAGTGATAATAGCAGTGGGCCACACACAAGGAGCTGTTAATATAATTCGGAAGTTTCCATGAACGGGGAAGTTAGCACTAAATTCTACTCGTCTGTACTCTCACTGTAAATCATCAATGGTACTGTACTGAGGGTCGTTTCATGTTCACATGAGTAATGACGTAGGGTTATGAAATAAGGGGAATCCCCTAACTTAAGGCTACCGATGAAAACCTTAGCCGTGTAAGCTTTTAGCATTCTCCAATCAGATGCAGCATAACTGAGTGATATTTGCATACTGACCCATTGAAAAGGCCAAGTGTTTAATTTCCTCCCACGCAGATGTTGTTAGGGCTGTTAGAGCAGAACTTCATAAGAAATTAAACAACCTTTGCCAAACGTGTTGGATTTTGCGTCACGATCAGTTTACGACCTGGTGGATTGATCTTTCTTCTAACAAAAGTAGTTTAGTGTCCGTAGGATTACCTTTGTGAGTATTGCAAGAAATTTATGGCTTCGTCAATAAATCTACGCCACGATCCACAGGTAGCGCGACTGGGAGTATGAATTAATCATCTTTGAAAGTGATGGCATATTCACAATAACAACTAGCATGGCTGGAAAACAGTTCGTTTGCCAATGGAGATAAATGCACTGGTCCGATAAGAAGATGTCCTCCAGACGCTCCGAGTTGCTAACCCTCTTGTTTAAAACACGATCGCAATCAATTTCTCCGTTTAGAAGGGAAAAGCAGCGATCAAATCAATAGTACTGGGATATAATATTCTATTTTCCTAAGACTAGACTAGTAATTACAATTGATTGAAGGTAAAAAAACGTTCAGTTTACGTGGGTTAACATATGACTTCGATCATTTCCATTTTCTTTAGTCAGTGCTCCCACGCGGACGCTGTATGCTCAGTTCTAATGACGTGGAGAACCGTCGAGAACATTAGCTTATCAATCGAAGACACGTAGTCAGTATAATACCAGCGCACGACAGTACTAAAAGTTGTGGTCAAAGACGATTATAATAGAAGATCACAGTACAATGTATTCAAGCACATCCAGTGATAACGAGGTAGTCGACTGTAGTTGTGAAGTCTAGGTTCGCCAAAATGTCGAACGTTTTAATCGTTTTGCCGTGAATATAATATTATTTGGTGTAATTTATTTCATAAAGTAACTCTAAGAGTCAACTAACCCCAAACGTTTTCGTTCTAGATCATACAGTTAATCTATTATATAAGCCACGACTAACGAAGGTCTTGTGGAAACGATCCTTTTTATTCTGAATCGCCCATTTTGGAGTCGGTAAGTGTTCTTGACTACTACTTTAGTCAATCGATAGAAATCGATATCGAAAATCAATCAATTTAATCGATATCAGTCGATGTCAATCGCCGGTGTTTTAAAGTAGCAAGGAAAGATGTAAAGCCCAAAATGTTTCTGTTAGTTTTTTTTCTGTTCTTATTATTTTGTCGATGATTGTAAAAGATATACAAGCTCAAACCTCCCACGCTGGTTCATTTGAGGAGTATATCAACGATCAAATCAAACGATCCATACAACAATCTTGAATTTTTTCTTGATCCAACAACCTTGAATTTTTTCTTCAACGATCGAACAAGATCTAATTACACTCTAATTGTACTTAGGTTTTCTCTACAATTCTTACATAAAACAGTGCTTTTCCTTTGAAATTTTTTCCCGTTACTCGGTTTAATTTTTCGTTACTTCGTTACTTGTTACTTCGTTACACCGGTGGCTATTTAAAGTTATAACGTCAGTTTTTTTAATAAAGCGTTTGCGATTGGTCTGATGCTGACAGATTGAAACTGCATTTTCTTGTACTTTTAAATCAACTCTCTCTAGCTTTTTAATTCCTTCTGTCCGAAGTGGGGCTCCGTGATTGTGATCATAAATGAGAGGTAAGATTAAGAATACCGAAAACCACTTACCCAAAGACCCCGAGAATGTCGAAATTTCAAGCGTCACAGCCGGAAAAGCCGCGTGGAGAAAAGTCTGTGTAGTTACTACGATAGCTTACCGATAATCAGAATTCTTAGTTTAAGACTAAAAGAAAACTTCTACCATGACAGAATACGAATTGAATCGAAATGTGTGATTGAGAGAAGTCACGGATAAACGNTGACATTTCCTCCATCGGAGGGATCCTCTAGTCGGATGTAAGGTCCCCGCCATATCTTGTCGTAGGTCGCAGTGGCGCGAGTACTTCCTGTACGTATGGACATGGTTCTGCCCCAGTCGAACGAGGAAAAGTACTGGAAAAAGCCGACTAACAGCTCACCGAGACTTTGTGTGTTGGAAGACTTGAACGAACGAATTTGATCAGGAACGTCAGCGGTGAGCTTCTCCATGACAACACTGTTTGAGGCTTGGAAGATACTGCGAAAGGATTCTTGTAGAGCAGGTGCTACAGGCGGGGAACATCCGGCTTGAAGATAATGAATTACGAGGAGAACTACAGCGAAACCTATAAAATAAAAATAATCAATCAGTTACTCAGAAAAAACCCAGGTTACCAGGAAGTTTTTTAAGATCAAATTTTAAAACACGTTATAATTACCTGTCAGCAAATCAATTCAATTCATTTTGAGTCCATAACCTTAAATATTATTTGGACGCTTATTTTCTTTCTGGACAGTAGTCAGTAGCTTTTTGACGTCGAAAATGGAGACTGTCAAATAGAAATCTAAGGTCGAAAATGTCCGAAATCGGCCGTTTCATCGTTTCTTTCAACAATCGAAGCTTAATCGAGTCAATGGAATGAGAATCTTTTCCACCTCAGTTATAACACAGTTCTGGAGATGTCGGTGGGTTGAACATTTGTCAAGAGGAACCGGTTGAGATGACCTTTAAACAAATGGTAAGAGTTTTTCCGAAATAAAAAAAATCCAATCGAAAGAAATTATGACTGAGGCAANCTTTATTTAGTGCAAAGAAATGTCGGTTCTACATGGAATATCTACTAGGATTCTCGATCGCATTTCTGAACGTTTCTGTTTGCCTTTAGTCACACTCAACTATTACGCTTAAGTTTGCCACGTCTAAACAGAACAGTGCCTACATGTAGTTTCCCTTATAAGCTTCTCGTTCAAGTAACAAATTAAGTTTCCTCCAACATTACCTCTGTTTGAAAGCGGCGTCGGTTACTCGTGAAAAGGGACTCAATTTTCCTCAGCATGTAAGGACCTGTCGGCGCTGCCCCCTCAAAACACAACACCAGATCTATGTCGCTATGAATGCTTCCGAAGCCGTTTGCGGACGAGCCGGACAAAACAAGGCGACTGGAGGGGTAGAGCGATTTCACAATCCCTTCAATTTCCTCTCTCCATCGATTCTTGCGATCGTAAATTTCCCTCGTTTGCTGATTCTCGACAAACTTTTCTTGAATCTGTGCGCTTAGTCGAGGAAACTGATCACTTCCCGATCTGGGGTTAAATCTTGCCATGGTGTAAGGAGAAGATGATGTCACGGACGAATCGAAAATGAATCTGGAGTGAGGGTTCTNAAAATTTTAAAAAGCATATGCAGTGTGCTTTAACATTTAAAGAATGGTTATAAAGTCCGTAAAATCATGAACCTAAGTCATCTGTTTAGAACTGAGAAGTAATGGAAAGAAAAAATAGGATATACTAGAGTTAAAAACAAGATTTGTAACTTAACCTGTGTCTGAATCGTTAAATAAATACTTAAGTTATTTTTACTCTGTATGCAAGAGTTTACAACTGTATAAATCACAATCCTAACCTTTAAGATAAAGGTCATTAAAACCAAAATCTCGAATTTGAATTTTGTCAGCAAGTGTTTCCAAGACTCTATCATAGTTCTCCTTTGTGAAGTGAGCAAATGCCAACAGACTAGTCACCACTGACAACAAGTTCTGTACATCTAAATTATCAAAAAGGAAAAGAATACAATACACCAAATCATAAATTCAATGCAGAAGTGAACTGTTTGTAAGAAACTAAGTGTTTGTGTCATCAGTACTCATACCAAGCTCGATTTCCGCAACTCTCTTGTGCTGGGCCTTTGATCCTCCCTGAGAGAGAGGAGCACGGGCTTGTTTCCCGGACAGCAAATGGAAATCAAGCCAATGCTCATACAAGAATCTGAAAGAGTTGCTTTAATTTTAATAAACTGTTTATCATCCTTGCTTTTCAGCGATCAACTGTTAAATTAAAAATATGGATCAATGGAAACAAATGAAAAAATCCACCACACAAAAACGGAAAAAAGATCAGGGAAAACCAGTGGGGTGGAGAGGGGGGCATTCAGGAGGCACATCTTTCCTTTCAATTTTACCATTAAACTTTCCAACACCCCACACTGTACCCATCTCGTCTTGATTTAAGCACTATGATAAACTTGATGAAAGAAATAATGGTATACATTAAGCCTGATGGTGATTAAGGCAGAAGTTTCAATTAATCAGTGATACAAGAAGCTTACATGTACTCTGCAAAGAATTTCTGAATTCTTTCAGCCAGAGTTAATAAAAGCTAAGACCTTCTAGACACTGTTCAAAAAAAAAAATCATGGTTATAGGAGACTTGTGGTAGCTATGCTATATATGACGAACATACTGTATACTGCTGACTGATCTCTTCTCTTAACAACATGCTTTCTTGCCTGTCAAGTCTTTTGTTGATGATGTTATCACACAGTTGGTGATTGATGGGATGTACTCCAAGCTGAAAAGGCACACAGGGTCTCTACTGGAAGGTACCTTGGGATTTTGGAAAGGAAAATACATTTCAATGGAACAAAAGAGAGGACACATGTATTCATTTCATAAGTACAGTGTACTTATAAGTTTGTATTCAGATGAGCTGTGATTGGTGAAAAATGACTTGGCTAATCATCAGGGGCACCCAACGGATCGTTTCAGTAAATGATCTGTTCAGAAGGCCTTTAATCCCCTCTGATTTTCTGAAGAGAATTGTCACCTCGAACTTTCGTGATATGAGAAATTTAATGTCTGCTGCTTTCGAATTGTAAAAAATGTTGTTTTGGGTACCGAAAAAAGGTTACCTATCATTTTCGGAAAGGCGATACGACCTAAGGTTTTCYGGGAAWGGACAAAAAAGCCCTAATAAATTTGAGAATACTCAAGTTCCCCTAGAATAACTGAACAGATAAAATTTTTTTGCACAACCTAAAATTAACATACAGAGCTTTAAAAGTACTCCAGATAGCCTAAAACAGCGTTTAAAAGCATTTGAGAGAAAACGGTTGTTGGGTGCCCCTGAATCATAACATATGCATACTAAACCTGTACTCGGAAAAAAAATTACCTCCTCCCAGGATGTCTGAATGGCAAATTTGTCCATGTGATAATCAACTGACTATACAGGTGGCAGCCAAATAGAAAAATATCATCAAAGAGATATCAAAATGAACTCAGTCAACATTTGCAATTTAATAGATGTATGGGAACTTTCTGCAGTACAGTGGTGTAAAAACTTGCTAAGACATATGAGGGTTAGTGTTAGGTATTGCTATCCCAAAGTTAGTGGCGATAAATTATAATTTAAGATAACAACATTTCAAGTTCATTTTCCATTGAAACCAGCATAATTTTTAGCAAAGACCTTAACTGGTCACCAAGCAGGTAAGTTACAGTCCTGCAAATTCATCATTAAGCAACAATAATATTATGATTTTTTCACACTGTTTGGTAATAGTTGACCCATGTATCATTTTTTGTTGCTGCTTTCGCAAAACATGTGAACCACCATCTCTAAAATACATCACACTTGTTACCTAGAGTGCTGTCCTACAGTTTATTTTATACCTGCTCTGTGGAGCTCAAGTTAACTTCTTCCAAATGTTTTAATTGCCTTTGCATCAGCTGAAGAAGGTCCACAGCCTTGTCAACTGAAGAAAAATAAAGAGTGCATACAGATTACTGTGCTACTGATGGCTAATAATTATTAATGGTTTTCATCTTACAGCTTAATGACAAGGGTTGTTGTCTTAGAAACAAAACATTTATAACAATTTTTTCCAAATAGGCAATAAGCTAGTAATTAATTTAGAGGTTAGTTCTTCAGCTGCACTGAATATTCTGTCATGTTGAAAATCCTAACTCAGTTTTGAATGAAATGTATATGCAGGTGTTCTGGTGAAGGAATATGTGATCTCCATGTTTTTAAGATTGGTCATTTAAATGCACTGTTACCATGTATTATCTGTGACCAGATGATAGCAGATGGACTCTGAGCAGGAAGGCAATGGAGAGATTTCACACCTCAGTGGGATAGTAGCTTAATTCATACCTGTAATTATGGTTTTATTTATACAGTAAACAGTAAAATGTTGTTTGAGATATTGAAAGCAGCCAGGCAAAGATGCGTTTACAGGTGGTCAATTTTCCCACTGCCTGGCCCTTTATTGGAATCCCTAAAGTGTACATCTACATAATAACATGCATAACACATGTTGTATGTACGGAGATTGTACAGAGCATTCATTTGTTAATTAAGTAAATAATTACTCTTAAATTCTCAGCACTAACATGTTAGTTAGAATAAATATAAGAAATTAGAATGAATATTTTTGTTAGCTTAAAAGTAATTAGCAGTTCAAAATTGGGAGTCCTGACAACGAAGTGAGACAAATATACAAAATTATACCGCTAAAAATTCCAGACAGGCATAATTATACACAAAGCAGACACACCTTCTTCATCAAGTAACCACAGAAATGCCAGCAGGCAGCTACTTAACACAAGAGGAGCACATCCAATACTTTCATCTTGTACTGCTTTAAACAATGATGGCAGCAGGATATCCAGAGTGTGCTCAATGTTTTCTGGACTGAACAGATCCCGCTCAGCTGGATCTCCTGATTCTACCACTGTCTCTTGGTGACGTTCTATTTTGAATGCCTCAAAAGCTATAATAGGACACAAATACACTTAGACATAAAGTTATTTAAAATTAGCTTCTACTTGTACCTGATCGTACCTTTTTGGTACACTTTGTTCAATGGCATATCAGGCGAGTTTGGTGAAGCCATCATTCATATTCTGGCAAGACGCAGTCAAGCCAAAATACCCATGGCAAGACCAAATGAGCCTGTATGTTGCTGAAAGGAACCAAAAAGGTATGATTAGGTACATGTATTTTTGTGAGTATGATACCATAGCCATATCAGGTCAGTGACTCGGTATCGCAGGATATCAAGACAGTAGATGCAGAACTTTTCTGATTAGCTATTTGTTAATTTGTGTATGATAACAGCAGGTATGGTAACCTACTTGTTTTTTTTAATACCACATTGGACTTCAGATGAGCAGTCTGGGTAATCTAGCACTGGCTGAAGTCCTTGCATTGTATTCGTAGACAAAATTACAGTGCCCCTCTTCACCCAGGTGTATAAAAGTTAATTCTGGGGGTAACCTTGTAACAGACTCGCTGGCATCCGATCCAGAGGAAGAGTAAAAATAATTCTAGTCACTTAGTGCTACTGCAAACAGAGACAAATGCTGACCTGATGATACAATAGACTCCAATGAAAACTCTTCTTTAACCAGTCTCGATTATTGTGCTAATTATCTAAAAGACTTGAGGAGAGGGGCATAAAAGGGGGTCCGAAAACTGCAAAACTGCATTAAAAAAACGTAAAAAAAAATGCAATACTGCGTCAAAATTTACCAAAATACCATACAAAGCATGCATTTTGTAATTTTTTATGAAAGTTGTCAAGATGCTAGTTTCGAGCTCAAATACCCATTTTTTTGTCACAAGTTGACTGAATCTACATTGCGTTTCATTTGTTATCTTTCCAAGAAGAATTTTAATAACTTGAAGACAATGTAGCCAGCCAGCCCCACGGATTGTTCAGTAGAGCAGATGATTGTTGAAACATATAACTCTCCCAAAGCAAGTTCTTGCTCCCAGGAGAAATGTTGCCAAGCTTGCAATTCCTCTTTGAAATAACGTTTCTCTTCCCGACCATCATCAACCTCCTCTTCACTTTTTTACAGATTACCGTAATCTAAAATTTATGAAAACTTCACCTTAGTCTTATAAAACTGCAATACCACAGGTTAAAATAAAAATGTTATGCAAAACCGCACCACCGCAAACCCTTGAGTACCCCCTCCTTAAGAAACAAGATACAACATTCAACACAATTCACAACCAGCTCATTTATTTCTACAAATCTGAAATTTAATAAGTACCTCGAGAGAGGCTTCTGTGAAGAATGGTAGTACTCTTGTGAATCCCACCAACAAGTATATTTATGTGCCCACGTAACAGCAAGTGGCTCAAATTATATGCAATTGCTTGTTCATAGCAAATAAATGAAGACTCTGGTGGCAGACCTGAAAAAATACATAACCACATTGCCATGAGAATTGGTGTAGTTTAATTTTTTTTTCTTTTTTAAGGGGACATGGGGGTGTAAGGCGCTGGCTAAGACTATGCTTGTTAGACTGAGATACATGCAATAACTATGTTCAAATAATTTGTAGTACATTTCTTGCATAAAAATACCTTAGAGGCTAGCTAAGGTATACAAAAGTTGTTGCTGAAAAGCAATTTTGAAAACATAACCATGAGTAAGTCCAAGTTTCAATTTAAGTACCACTAAGATGAAAAATGACCCTTTTTTCTAACTGTTTTCAATATAACAGTATTATAGTACTTTGGGCCCCAAAATTTAAATATCCATGTTAAAATAAAGCGACAGAAATACTCTTAACCACTATTTCTGGGCTAAAATCACGATTTTTCCATCCACCATTGCCGAAATCTGGTTCCATATTACTATTTAACTTGAGATAACCAATTTCAAAACAAATTATACATTTGGTACTTTGGTGAGTATCCTCATTGTGGATAGGCTTAAATTTCTTTCAATTTGATTAAATTTAAATCTCTCCAGTTTTAAATTCTTATTTTCCTTTGTCTTAATTGTGGTCTCTTTACAAATTTTATTTTTATCCCACTTTAGACTAAATTAATTTTAATTCATACCTTGCACTCTTTCCAGCAGAGATGTAAAGTTATCCAACACTTCTTGAATTGTCGATTTACTGCAATCCTTCTTTAATACCAATCAGTTTTGAAAACTAAAATTAGCACTCCCAAATAGTACGTAGTAACTGGTTTCAAATGTTAAATATTTCATCTAATAATGAATGTCCTGGGCATTTTGTTGTAGTTGCTTTTTCAGTTAATCATATCAGAATTGGCTGGCATGGCAACATGTATTACTAGTAAAATTCTCTCAAAATTGCACAAGCCTTTGAATGAATTTTCAAATACCACGAAGAGTGTGTACATGTATTATCGATCGTACAAACTTTCATATCATTGCTCATTTACTTGTATTATAACTCAGAAAATTACGAACACACTTGTATTAATAATTTGCACTGCAATGCAAATTGAAAATTAAATTTGCCTGGTCTGATGGTCTGAGAGACCAACATACAGTGAAGTGTCCACTGTGTTTCAGTGAAATTATATTAGCCTATTAGCCTGTAGAAAGTATATAAATTTAATAACAATGTAATTGTGCCAATATATTACCTTTACCAGGCATTTTTCATTACTTAAATTAGAACATTATTATCACTGTACTTACTTTTAAGCGATGTACAAGTAGATCGTTTTCAATTATCCACTCCTTGACATTAAAGCTCAAAAAAGTAGCTGAAATGAAGATGAAATGCATGAATACGGAGTGAGTTTGTGTCAATTCTCAGCCTTCATTTTTAGCCATATTTGATGCTTCTCATGCAACGAGTCCAACTTAAGTATATGAATAAAATAATTCATTAAGCAGTATGTAGCCACCTAAAAATAAGTAGGGAATAGAGCAGTATCTTAACTAACCTTTCATAAAAACTTCATTCTGCTTTTTAAGACACTGAATGTCCTTTTTCCACCAACCGGGGACAATTGTTACAGAAGCTTGCTTAAAATATTAACAATAAACAATATTAATTTTGAATGATGTAATTTGATGCACATGATGTTTAGTTCTATGCCTTACTATAGTAACCTGATTTGACAGCTATCTATCATTATTCAGGCTACTTATAAATAATTATATATAATTTTTCATCTTATTACTACACACTACATGTAGTATCAAGCTGTCCCATACACAATAAGCAAAAAATCATCATCTTAGACCATCCAAAAACAAAGAATATTACATTGTATAAGTACACTGTACATGCTCATGTTCTCAAGACAATTACCAAACAACGTGTTTGGTAATTGTTTCGAGCATTAATTATACTATTAATCTTTATTAATTAGTAGTAAATGCACTGTAACAAATTTTGAGGTTAAGAAGTGTTTGGGAACCTCTTTTGAGTGAAAAACAAACGGGTGGTATGGCAAGAAAGAACCTACTGACGTACATGAAACTGATATGCCAATGGCACAGTTGTCCCATTACAGGTATTTGATTCCATGTAGTTCTTATAAATTCAATGCTTTTGTCATACGACCCGCATGTACCTGCGCACAAATTTCCTTGGAGGACTGTAAGAAGAAAGGTCCTGTATAAGGGCCTTACATTTGAAGTGATAGGGCCAGAAAAACATGCATGGTCTTACAACAAATGCGTACAGCCCTACTAGTGATGCCATGCGTGTGTCCTTGTTCCACCATGAAAAATAAAAAAAAAAACATAATGGTGGTAACATGATAAAATGTTTATTCACTGAGGGACGGCTGGACAGGAAAATTTTCGGCTCTCAGTCAGGATGCCGGGACAGAGTGCAGCAAGTGAATAAAGATAGTGAAGTTTAAGCTTGGTAATGAAATGTGAAAAGTGAACTGATCAACATGACACGAGCGTCTTTTTTTCTTTATCCCACACTTGTGTCGTGTTGATCAGTTCACTTTTCACATTTCATTACCGAGCTTAAAATTCACCATCTTTATTCACTTATCACTACTCACGATGACTTTGACAGTGCTGATCCTAGCAGTATGCACATATGAACTACGTTAAATGACCCTGCCCTCTATGAGTTCTCGTAGCTCAGTGGATAGAGTACCCGCCCAGTGTTTGGGGGGTCATGGGTTCGATTCCTGTCGGGTACTCAGATTTTTTCTTTGTCCCACGCTCGTGCCATGTTGATCAGTTCACTTGTCACATTTTATTGATTTTAATAATATTCACAACAATAGACCATTTTACATATCTCTGCTTGGTGACCTGGCCTTTAAATGACAGCGAGGCTGGAGGTGACCTTGCCTTGATACAGACGTAGACTCTGCTTTTGTTATGTAAATGCACCTAGTTAGCATTAGAACAACTTGATTTACACAACAAAAGCAGTGAGGTCTGTATCAAAACAAGGTCACCTCCAGCCTTGCTACAATTCAAAGGCCAGGTCACTGAGCAGACAACTGTAAAATGGTCTTTTTACAATAAATGTCTAATTTCTCACGCGCTGATTGGCTCATTTTTAACATCAATAAGAGTATAGACGGATAAAATGTTAATCTATGCAAGCTTTCGAGTTCAACTTTCAGCTGTCAAACTGTCAACTTTTTAAGCAATGAGATTTTCTGGACTTTTTTAAGCAGCCAATCAAAAAGTGAGAAAAGCTATTGACAACGTTCACGTCATTTTGAATAAAATTCACTTATCTTTGTTTACGGCAAGTTTTCGGCATCTTTTCTCCTCGTTTATTCCCAGCATTTGACCATTTTAGGGTCTTGTTATCGTAAAAAACAAATTGACGTCAGTTTTTTTATGTGTCTGTCCTCTTATTGATGATAAATTGCATCATAACATTGTCAAAGTTTACTGTGGAACCATTTGCCTGTGGCTCGTGGTTCCACAGCCACTTTGACAATGTTATGACACAATTTATCATCAATAAGAGGACAGATGCATAAAAAACATGTATCATGTTTTTAAAGTGAAAATCACAAACATCATTGCCACAACTTGCTCATCGATAATAATTCATCAATAAGCTTATATTGGCATCCACTGTTATCGATTTTCAACAAAAATCGATTTCATTTGCTCTGTTCAATTCAGGCTTAGGAATTTCGGGAGGCATCATTGCCAAACAAGCACCCTCGACCCTATTGAGCGCCAGCCACAAAAATTTGATTACTTAAGTAAATTGTAGGGATTTTAAAAACACCCGAAATCGACCTAGAGCATGCAGAAGTCTCGGGAGAAGTAAAACTCTGCTACTGGCTTATACGTTCGATCCATGCTGTCTACTAGAACTTGGGGGGAATTTCTTGCATAGCACCGTGCAGATAGAAAAACAAGCTCAAATCAGTGTACCTTGAGCTCAGAGTCTAACTGTGACATTTGCTTGTCCAATCCACTGAGTTCCTGTCTAACAACGCTTTCTCCCTTGATCATGTTTGGTTCTCTCACAGGTCGGAAGGATTGTTCAGTCCACTCGCAAATCTCCCGCCATCGTTAAACCACAATTAGAGATACATTGTGTTGAATACATAGCGTATTACCCACTGGACAGGAACCGTGATGAACTAGCCTCCCCTCCCTTCACGTCTCACTACACTTATAATAAAAGGTTACTGTGAGACGTTTCATCTTCAGATGCAGAGCATAGAAAGGTCATTAGTATAGTGAAAATGATTATCAGTCTTGTTAAAAGAAAAATTTTACAACCTTCAAGAGATCGCCGGGCTGTTACTGTTTCTATTCCCCTCGGGTAGGGTAGGGTAGTGTAAGGAGGGGTAGGGTAAGATAGATTTTGTCGTCGCGCAAAATTGTAAAGAATTTCAACATGGCGGGCGGTCGCGAGAGAGCTGTTTCAGAAAGAACCCTTGTTTGTCTTTTGCAAGCTGTACAAGGCCATAGGACCACCGTAGAACTACGAAACGAGTCATCTGCAGAAGGGCTGATCGAGAACGTCGATGGATTCATGAATATCTCGATGTCCGATATCACATTTACGAAGGGAAATGGCGAAGTGATGGACTTCCCTACAATGTTTATTCATGGCCGGCAGATTCGTTACGTTCAAATCCCTGATTTTATTGACATGAGAAAGGCTATTGACGAGCAGTTATCAAAGATAGGAAACACGAGGAAAGTTCCCGCTAGACGAATGAAAAGGGGAGGAAAAACTTAATGCAGATAGGTAAGTAAAGGTGTACATGTAGAAGTGTATATTTTCACCAATTTGTCATGAAACAATCCCCAGGTCACTGTACTCACTGGTCCAGCAGAAAATTCCCCTTCAAAACTGACAGGTGTGCTTGTGATTTCGTACGTTTTAGGGTGTAAAGTATAAACTTTGTTGATTGAATTTCAAATGATATGCTAAGAGAGCTATCACGGTACTTTTAAGAGTTAAAAAATTGTCAGTGTCAATTCATTTATTGTTTTAGAATTGTTACCTCTGAAGCGAAGATTATGGTTCCTAAAGGACTGCCTTAAAAATTCAGACAAGCACCGCTGTCATTTTACAAGAGAGTATCCCCCTCCCTNCCCCCCACCCTCCCCTTGGGCAGAGAACCTTATACATTCTGAAGTGAGAGAGTCACACTGAGGTCATGGAGAGAGGGTTATATAAATTACCCGGTTCGTCAAGAACAAGAACCTTCAAGAAGCTAGGAACTGTGCTTTCAGGCTTCTTACTTTGGAACCTTCTCGGGATTTTTAATTTTGCACAATACCACCTCGATCTTTTCCCTGCAGTTCCAAAAATTAGGCAAACCTTTGTGCTCCTCTATATGCTGCTGCAAGTGACAGCACCTTTAACCAACAGAATGTGCTAAGAGACACACACATCACACTGTTTGGTACCAACTCAGGCTTTCTCCTCTGCTTACATCCTTGATCTATGGCTTGCCATTGTCCGCAAGCTCCATATTGTGAAATCATTTTCTTTGAGGTTCAGCACTGCAGAAACTTTGTATTGCTCATTGGTCAATTTGAAATATGTTCTGTTAAAACCATCAATGTGTAGTTCAAACTGAATGTTTTTTTTTCACAACCTTTATTTTCAGTGACAAACATCTTTGATACAAATTCCTAGAAGTTCTGAGATAGTATTATTCACAAATGACATAAATATCGTAGCCAAGTGACAAAAGGAGATAATAAGTAGTGTCCATTCAACCTAGAAAAAATTATTCTTAATGAAATTGATCTTTAATTGAATTGAAAACATCTAAAATTATTTCACTGTGAAACTATTTAGGGGTTGATAAATTTAACAACATTACAAATTCACATTTGAATTAGAAACATCTGCCCTATTCTCTTTCAATAAAATGCTTTATTTATAAAATCATTGTGCTCATCAATATGATGCATTAAGCCGCAGTTCAGGGTAATACTCAAAACTGGTACCAAGTGGCAGAACATTTGGTATCCGTGGGTGGTATGTCGTGTTCTGTTTAATGGTTGGGAGTTCTGGCCAGTCAAACTGAATTGTAGTTGAATGTTTTTCTCTAAAAAGCCGTCTCTTTTGTGATCTTAACTCAACATCAATTGTATCTGGATTCCTCTCCAGTTTACTCCATTCTTCATAGTCTAGTTGTGAGTCGTTGTAGATTCCTTTCATTCGTTGCCTGGCAGAGGGAATTTAGTAAAAATAGAAGAAATAATTAAAAGGAAGTTCAAAAGAAATATTATTACTAGCAGTAAAACCCATGACTAAAGTACCATGAAAATGAGACAATGTGTTCCTTATAACTGGGCTTTGTTATTATAATAACATTTCTGTAACTGAAACTAATTAAATGTATGGTTTGTCAGGAAGGGTTTGTTAATATTATGGTTCCACATTGGACTGAAAGCCTTCAAGTATTGGGCAGTTGTGCGATGTTCAAGGTTATACTAAGCGGAAAATATCACTGAAAGATTTTACACCTGCTTTCAGTGTTACGTGCATACGCGACATCTTTTGACCATCTTTCGACATGCAATCTCTCGACATGCTATGTAAACGGCTGAAAGACCGTTAAACTGTGAATTTGGCAACTTTTCCTGGTATTAGTGGGAAAATGACAAATAAAGGATACTTACTGACCTGAAATGGCTGAAGACGATTGTAGACTTTGCATGTTTCCCAATTTACAGGATAAATCAAACTATTTGAGTGTAGTCCATTGGCTCTCAATAGTGACTTCCGGTAGAATTGGGCCGTTATATACTGCTTTTGATATTCGAAAGATGTAAACATTCACAATCAATTTATCTGTCACAGAATGACTTCTTGATACTCCTAACCTTTATTCTGATGTCAAATAAATCCATCTTTCATGACTTAAAGTCAAGTTCGACCGTAAAGAAGTCCGTTGTGCTTACATTTTTGACGTAGGCCAGGTTACATAGCATGTCAAGAGATGGCATGTCAAAAGATGTCGCCTATGCACGTAACACTGAAAGCAGGTGTAAACTGACTCATTTTTGTGGGAAGGCAATAATCATTAATCCATTGTGCACAGATATATTCAAGACAGGCAAGTTAGTCAAGATTATAGTGGACCTTCTTTTGTTTTGTTTTGTTGCACAGTATTAATAAGCTGTTTTAAATTAATTTTCACAACTGACCCGCTTCTTCTCCTGACACCACTGTCAATATCATGTAGTTGCATTCTAAGCCATGTATTACACTCAGTGCCGTGTCGTCCAAGAGGCACCAAGGGAGCAGGAGGGAGGCGCATTTCTCCTATTTCTTTGTCACTCATTGTGTCTCCAGTGACGCATCTCACTACAGTACGATCCTCTTCAAGCCTTGTGCTTCCTTGTGATATCAGTGGATCATTTAGCTTCCTTGTTATTGCCTGAAATGTACACCTCAGCTTTAAGTCGTCAGCAAACATCAACCAAGGCACATTAATTTTAAAACTTATTTTTCTCACAGACTCTAAGTGTATGAACTTTCTTTTTACTTTCTCTTTTGTCAAGGTTTTCTCAAAATACAAGCTTCACATTTATTTTAAAAAAATCTGGGCAAGTGCATTGTTAGAGTCATGTCCTAAAAGGTTGGTTACGTGTATACATTAATTTCTTTGTAAATTATCTGAATCATTTTATTTCCTTATAGGAAAAACAAATTGTTCTACACCAGCAAAATGGAAAGTGGAGGCCAGGATATCCTGCTTATAAGATCTTGTCAAGACTTCAACCTCTGAACAAGTCCATCCATAATGAAGTGCAGGGAAAACAACTGTTTAAAACATTTAGCTCCAGTTGTGGCAAGAAAATACTACATGCTAAGCTTGTTATTGTGTTTGTAATCTAACAAGCGAGCCAGGAGATAACTACCGGTGGTCTTGAGAACTTGTGGTGTGGTTAAATAAGAGGACTCACCTTCAGTGGAGCAGGTCTGTTTGCATTAAGAACAAGTGGATCGTATTCCTCAGGGGACATCACATCCAGGAACACAACACCCTGATTCAATACAACCAATAATTTGTTAAAATAAGGAAATCATCAAAGTATGATGAAGAGGAAATCTGGTGTTATTTTAGATGTTGCATGCAATGCCAACATTTAATTTGGTGTGCCTTCAAGATGCTTGACAATACACTGTTTCCCTCCTCACGATGGACTGAAAATGTTCACACAAATTTCCACGAAACAGCATTAACTTTGCAGTTTTGTCCCAGGATTTTGGTCAAGCCTGAGGCATTTTGGATTGCATCTGACAAAGCAATAAAATTAATTTTGGTACTTCAAAATTTTAGGACGGAAAGCAAAGTTTTTTGGTTATGAAATGTCCAGGTATGTCTAACAGACTCATTCATAAAAACAATGTTCTTTTTTCTAAGGTTTTTACTAGTCAGTCCACTGTTATAAAGTACTAAAAATGTAGTCTGAAGTTCATTTTGAAGCTTTTGAAATGTTACAGCTTTGAAAACATATTGGATTGAAACTGTAGTTAAAGCAACAGCAACTGTAGTTAAAACAACCTTTTTTTGTCATTACTTTTAAACAAATACCTGTTATTTGTTCTAAAAGTCTGTAAAAAGGGACTTACAAAACTAGAGATTAAAATGAATTATTTTATCACTCACTTTTCTATTACTGTAATCTAGATATTTTTTGTAGATATCTCTTTTCCTTCTGTCTAAGTGTCTGTAATTTGGACCATCCATTTCTTGATCTATTTTTTCCTAACAAACAAATTCAAGAACTTTTAGTTGTTAGCAATAATTTATAGCAATTCCTAATAAAAATCACATAATGTAGTTGGACTGTAGTGGGATCAAATGCATCCTCTCCTATTTAGCCACATGATAATCATTGACTACATATAGATTTATATAAACAGCATGCGATACAATTTACTAATACTGTTGTCCATGCCTGTAGTCCCTACATGATACAATTCAGCACTGTGTAGCCCCCAATGCAATATTTGCAAGAGATTTCAGTTACAATAGCCCTTTTCACATCTACCTTTGCTTATTTGCATTACAATAAAATCTAGCATGTATGTGAGGCAATTTCGGGCTATTTTGTAGTTTTAGCCCGAAATTGCCTCGCATCCACGTTGGATTACATTGTAATGCAAATGAGCAAAATTAACCGCGAAAGGGCTATACTCTGACTGTACCTACATTTCACCCTCTGCATGCATTGCGTGCCTATAAAGTTTGGTTGTATCAAAAGTCTGTTCCCCTTATGTTATTTTTTGGTACCATATTTCAAGACACTAACTGGCACTTTCTAAACTCAGCAATTATAACAACTACATTTGGGAAAACAAAATCGACTGTTTCTCGTAGGGATATACAGTTACTAGGTATGTAATCTTTTCCAACTACACTTATTTTGCTTCCTAGAACATCAAGCACAAGTGACTGTGTTTTACCACCTTTCCCATCACCACGAAGACAGTTGAAATATGATGCTCAGCAGAGTATTTTTGACCAACTTCAAGGCATTTGGAAATGTGGTAAAACTCTGCCTCAAGTGACTGATATATCTTCTCGATCAAAGCTAAAATTAAGGAGAAAACCAAGAAATAACATCGTAAAAATCTATAAATCAGATATCCAAACAACGTCACAGCTATGATCTCCTTGTTTTAACTTGATTAATTGTGATAAGTTTGTCAGAAATTTAGTTCATTAATACAGTTAGGAGTAAAACCAGGGAAAAATATGGCACGTGGTATAAATTGGCAGCCCTAGTTATGAAATATTTAATACTTTTTTCTATGGAAATCAACCAGTGTATAGTATAAGCATCAATGGGCGAATCTTTGCTGACGTCATTGTTTACATTTTTCCTCATTAACATACGACTTTGCACATAGAAGGCATCATGCTAGACACGATTTTACTAGAAA